AGATAAGACCCATGGCTGCAGCTAGGATTGGGTACTGCATACTGTGTGGCTTGGAAAGGAGATGAGAGTTCGGCCTAAGGATGCCCTGACTCTCTGCTCTTTTCCTCACTGTTCTCCGTGCCCCGCCTGCCATTGATTGTCACTCTCCCACATGCTTGCCTCTCAGTGGATTCCTGTCCCCGATGTTGCATAAATACACAGGTGCAATGAGGGTATGAGTTCATCTCCTGAACTCTAAGATTAGAAAAGGAATCACAATACATTCTTTGTGTACATGGCAATAAACATGGAGAAGAAAGGAGTGGAAAGAGGAGGGAAAAAAAAGAGCTGGAAGAAATGGGTGGAGTGCTTGGGGAAGGCTGCATGGCACAAATTGGGAGTGTTCTTAGGACCCGGCCAAGGCATCCAAGGAGTGAGAGAGAAGAGGACCCCGTATGTAGTCCAGAGGCCATCGGTGCCTCTGCAGGGAAAGCACTCATTAGACTTCATTCCTGACTCTGTGGGGAGGAAGAAGGATGCATTAGGTTCATAGTATCAACCAAGATGGCCACTTACTAAAATCACATCATGGTTCCGAAGCGGGGCCCTGGCAACTTGCTCCGAGGCGTCCTTCAGAGTCCCGGGGCCTTCTCAGAAGGCAAGGGGCATCTGGAGGCCTCAGTCTATAAGTATCGATGATAGTTTAGACAAATGATTCCATATTTTTCTCCCCAAGTAATTGGAAATGAGGAAATAAATAAGTGTGGGGCTGAGTGGAATATGACCCATTGACTTATGGGTGTGTTTTTTGTTGTTGGTTGATGTTTGAAGTTATTCGAGGAATCCCTTTGAGTGTAAACTGTTCCTGTCTGGTAATCTCTTTGTTTTTGTTTCCTTAATCATATCACTTTACTAAAAATTATTTTCTATATTCTCCTTCCTTTTCATTTTGGGCTTCTGGCCGGATTCATTATTTAAACAGAGGAAGGCACTGAAAACAGTTTTTGCCCTGTTTATTCTTTTTGCAAACAACATCCCTTTGTGGGTTTAGTTAGAGATTTTTTTACTCTTTGCTAATCGACACCAAAATAAATAGACCCTTAAAGCTGTCAGTGACACCAGCCAGTTCTGCAGCCCGAGTTCTGCAGGACCAGGCCAGATGGCAAAGCCAGGCCCCGAGCACACATAATGTGTGTCTGTAGCTCTTGGCTCCAGCAGCCCGGGCAGCTGACCGCCTTTTAGAAGGCTTCAGGGGGGAGGGGGCAGATTCTCCACACCCACTGGTTCTGTAGGGCGTCTCCAGGAATAAGCCCTCTGGTGGCGACAGTGGTCTAGTGTACCGGCCAGGGCACAGACTGGACTTCCCGAACTCCTGTTCTGTGATAAGTCCCCGTCACGAAGCTTCCTTCTCAGCTCTCCGTTGTGTAAAGTGGAGCGGGAGAGCTTGCCCCTCCTTCTGAATTTTCAGATCGTGTGGCAGGAGGGGTTGCACAAATACGCAGGTGCAGGGAGGGTATGAGTGCATCTTGCACGAGTCACACTGATGGGACAGAACCTTCATTCTGTCCAGCTGGATCTTATCTCAGCACTGGGGGGGGGGGGGGGGGGGGGGGGGGGTGAGGAGAGAGCGTTCATCGTCACGTGGGTGGCTGAGGTTCATCTGGTCCCCGGGAGAGTTTATTGTGAGTGTAGCTGAAATATTGTGCTTTGCGCTTCCAGATAGGTAATGAACCAGGAGACTGCCTGGACCTCTGAAGGAGGGGCTGTAAGAGATTCTGATGTGGAAACTGCCTCGTCTCTTCCCCTCCTCATCCAAGAATCCAGGAGATCGGTTTTTCTCTTTTAAGCTCATGAGACTACACTGCTCGTATCGTCTTAAGTCTGCAGAGGACAGGCTAACCCACAGGATCAGAAGTTTTATGTGCAACAGAACATGTAAACAAGGATTTCTCCACGGTTATCTCACAGAAAGAACCCAGGTCCTTCCCTGAGTTTGCAAACCCTTGGCCTTTGCAGAGGGAATCTTGATGGTCAATTAAAATTTTAGAAGCTGGTTGTTGTTGTTGTTTTAAATACATTTTTTTATTGATTTTTAGAAAGGAAGGGAGAGATGGAGAGAGAGAAATATCAGCCATGAGAGAGAATCATTGATCAGCTGCCTCCTGCATACCCACTACTGGGGATTGAACTTGGGACCCTTCAGTCCACAGGCTGACGCTCTATCTACTGAGCAAACCAGCTAGGGCTAGGAGAAACTGGTTTTTGAGGGAGGATTTGGTTTAATGAAGAAGGGACAGCTACCCACAGTAGACAGAGAGAGAGAGAGAGAGAGAGAGAGAGAGAGAGAGAGAGAGAGAGAGAGAGAGAGAGAGAGAGAGAGAAACTAAACCCCTCTGAACTTTCATGCATTAACTACAGGTCCCTCTCCATTTTACACATCCTCTCACTGAAGATGGGTGTTAGAACGGAATAATTTTAGATGCTGTAGCATGTAGAAGGGGGGAGGGGTGTTTGTTTTTTTTCTTTTGATTCTTCTTGGTGCGCTGTTACCACCCTGCCCCATGAAGCATGGTGTGGCTCCATAATTCTGTGCTAAACGGAAATGCTGGGTTGGAACCAGCGCAGCAGTTGCCTGTTTACTGCTTCTCTACACATTATGGCTTCCCTACTTCACATAGTGTTCGCACAGACCAAAAACATGTTTTTTGGCTGTCACCCAGATTTTGGCCTCCACTCCCAGTAATGCCATAAAAACGCTGTCAAATAAATTCTCAGGAACTGAAAGGAACACATCCCCTGCCCCATATGATGGCAGATAATAGAAGCAGGCTTCAGCTGACCACCTGGCTCGGTGCCTGTGGCCTAGGAAACTGGATCGCACTGCCCGCCTTGGTCCTGCCACACAGCCATCAGAGCTCATTCTCTGCCCGTGATGGATGAGCATTCCATCCATAACATAATAGCACTTAAGTTATTCCTTGTGAGAAACTTGCACACAGCAATTTATCTCGACTGGGCCTTTTGAATCCCATAAAATAGTATCTTTCATTACCCTGCTCTGTTGCCAATTGGCATATGTTATGAAATATTTGGACCTACGATTAATTTTCTGTTGATAAACTTCTAGCGTTAACCATGGACGGACAGACAAGATCCTTCTGTGTTTGGGGTGTGTGTGTTTGTGTGTGTGTGTGTGTGTGTGTGTGTGTGTGTGTGATTTGTGAGAAATGTTTCCCTTTCTCACCATGGTTATTGTAATGTCCTTATCATTCACAATCCCAGCTGAAAAGGATGACACATGCAAATTAAAATGATTTAGAGGGTTTTATTTAAAAGATGTGAATGTATGAGGGATGGGAGGGCTAGTGTATAATCCAGTGGAGCCATTTCTACCCCTAGAACGAAGGGAAGGAAAGGAAAGTGAACCCATTTGCGGTTATAGGACCAATGTATGTGCTTAAAGATCATTGAAGCCCCAAAGAGCTTATGTTTATGAGGGTTGTATCTTTCAAAAGTTACATGTGTCAGAAACTTAGATGTAAACATAAATAACTTATGAAAGATAATTTTATTTTCCAAAACAAAAGAATTACATGAGAAGAGTGACATTGTTTATATTTGTGTACATGTCTTCTGTTCATAGATGGCTAGATTGTTACACCTGCTCTGCATTCAATCTGTTGTGATAGACTAGTCGCCCTGTGCACAAATCCAGGTGCCAGTAGCTCTCTGTGGGGTTTGCACTCCTCACCCTCTGCCCGGAGGCTCTCTGAAGCCCAGAGGCCCACCGCCACGGCTGAGCACAAAATGCTTGCCTCGTTGCCGTGGTGATGAAGCAAGCCTTCTGTCAGGCAGCTCACACTGCCCGCTCTCAGTCGCAGCCCTCCTGGGACTGGGGGACTCCGCCGGGGGTGAGGACTGGGCATTGCCATCTTGTGGCTATGAGCACCTCCATCTTTGTGACAGCGTGATGGTTAGTTTGCATATCACCCTTTTATTAGATTGGATTGTTCAGGTAAAAGTTGATGAAGAATGTCCACCTTACACAGATATGAGGGGAAAGTAGTGTCTTTATCTGGTTTTAGAATTAGGATAGTATTGGGCTTTTAAAATGAGTCTGTGAGTCTTCTCTGCTGTTAACTTTTTTGGAATAGTTTGAGATAGGTGTTAGTTCTTCTTTGAATGTTTGATAAAATTCATGTGTGAAGCCATCTGGTCCAGGACTTTGTTTGTTGGAAGTTTTTTTGTTTGTTTTGTTGTTGTTTTTGCTGCTTTGATTTAATTGGTTGCAATCAGTTTGTTCATATTTTCTGTTTCTTTTTTATTCAGTTTTGGAAGATGGCATATTTCTACAGAAGCTCCTTCTAATTAAACACTAACTTCTTGTGTGTATGGATATTGGAACACTTTTTCTTGATAGGTCCATACCTCTTATTATGGATACCTTTTTGAGATAGGAAGTGAAAACTTAAGTTAATGGTTTCTAATATAGTGTCTTGATAAATGTTTATTAACAATGTCTAATGTTTGTTAGAGTGCTTTTACTTATTTTTTTTTTCAATGTATTTTTATGTCCATTAACTTATTTGACTGAGTAAGGTGGTTTCAAAAATAGCTTTAAGCCAGCCCTGGCTGATGTGGTTGAGCTAGTGTGTGTGTGGGGGGAGGGGGGGTAGAGGGGGGAGAAATAGGAGGGGCGGATGGTGGTTATCCTATACACCAAAGGGTGGTGGGTTTGATTCCCATCGGGGCACATCTCTAAGCTTCAGGTTCCATCCGCAGTTGGGGTGTATGGGAGGTGACCAATCGATGTTTCTCTCTCACATCAATTTTATCTCTCAAATCAATAAAAAAATTGTGTCCTCGGGTTAGGATTTAAAAACAAAATAGCGGTAAGCCAGTGCAGGAATACAGAAACACTCCTGTACTGCTGATGTGTCCAATAAATTGGGCAACCATTTTATCTGCTTGTTCAGAATATTTCAACACCATTAATTCATAATCTTGTTTTTCTCTTTAAGATCCACACGGGTTTACAGCACCAAATAATCTGGGCCTGCCAGCCCAGCTGCGTTCCTCTAGATGAAAAACTCCTGCCCCAGCTCCTAAAAGAAGCAGGCTACACTACCCACATGGTCGGAAAGTGGCACCTGGGAATGTACCGGAAAGAATGCCTTCCAACCCGCCGAGGATTTGATACCTACTTTGGTAATGGAAATGCACATGTTGCTTTAACAACTCAGACTGCAGCCATCTCATAAAACACACCCACGTGTAATCGAATGAAACACTGTAACTGGAAACTTGAACACAGAGTGAGCCCGTCAGCACCGTCAGTACCACCGTGGGGCCACTGTCTCATGCCACCTCCTTAACTGTGGTTCACCACCCCATGGGGAGGCAGTCTCCTTTGTCAGGTTACTTAATGCCACGTTGGAGCCTTTGGAAAATTTACTACCTTCACATCCCAGACCATTATACTCTTAGAGAACCTTACTACCAAAAGGGGTTACAAAACGATTTTTTTTTTTTAATTGCAAGCAAAACCCAATACAAGAATATTTCCTTCATAAAGGTGTGGAATATTTTTTTCTCCCTGTGAGCTGTGGTTAGAGGTTTTCTCTTTGTGTGTGTGGTTTTTTTTTTTTTAAGATGATGGAGAAGATTCTTTTCTATTGGCATTTTTCTCCCTTTCTTAGAGTTCTGTTTTTGAAACTACTAGATTGGGGAAAATAGATTAAAAAGCATAAAATCTGAGGAAAAGTACAGATAGTAATAGGAAGGATAATAAGTAGTATGAAGTTGAAAAACGTATAATAACTAACATGAAACCTAAAGTTTGTATTTAATGTGCCCTCTTTAAATCTGTTGAGAGCCTTCTTAATTAACAACCTGTGTATTTTGACAGTGGCTATATATCTTTGCCAGGTTCTTTTTCATACTGTTTTATCTTTCTGTCTAGCTATTTTGATACCTATTTCCCCTTTTTACATATTCATTTATTTTCAACTTGCCATATCTGAAAAGGAATACATATTTCAGCATAAAACATTTACAAATGAGTAGAATAAAAAATTAGGACAGATAGAAAAAGATGGAACAGTTGCTTGGCACAAAATTAAGAAAACCATTGCATGGTTGTAGGTGGGCTTCCCATTCAACTCTGAGAGTTGAAATATTTTTTTAAAATATATTTTATTGATTTTTCACAGAGAGGAAGAGAGAGGGATAGAGAGTTAGAAACGTCGATGAGAGAGAATCATCGACCAGCTGCCTCCTGCACACCCCCTACTGGGGATGTGCCCGCAACCAAGGTACATGCCCTTGACCGGAATCGAACCTGGGACCTTTCAGTCCGCAGGCCGACGCTCTATCCACTGAGCCAAACCGGTGCTGGCGAGAGTTGAAATATTTTTTAAAAATATATATTTTATTGATTTTGTACAGAGAGGAAGAGAGAGGGATAGAGAGTTAAAAACATCGATGAGAGAGAGTCATTGATCAGCTGCTTCTTGCACACCCCCTACTGGGGATATGCCCGCAACCAAGGTACACGTCCTTGACTGGAATTGAACTCTAGGCCTTTCAGTCCCCAGGCCGACACTCTATCCATTGAGCCAAACCGGTTTCAGGAAGAGTTGAAATATTTTATGTCCAAAGCAAAATAAAAAAAAGGTAACTCTATAAGAGTCACATTATTTATAAGATAAATGGAAACCAGATGTTCAGGAAGAGTAAAGCATTTTCTGGCTCTTAAACATGAGAGAAATTCCTCCTTTGGGAGAAGGTAAGGTGGAGAGCGTCCTCAAAGACATCATTTTAGTAATAAAGTGGTGGTTTTCTTACAGATGTTTCCTGAGGCATTTTCTCTTATGCAGGCTGGGACCAGAGCACTGACGTGCATTTCAGTAAAAGTGATTTCATGGGGCCCAAACAATGCAGTCGAAGCACGTAGCTTTGTAGCGCTTGTTGAATCAGGCTTAAAGTTGAGCTGCAAGGACCTCAGATGTGAGACCCTGTGTGTCCAGGTTCTCTAGCAGACATCACTAGTCAATCATGGCATTCTCTGTGTGTGAACCGGACACATCCTGAGTATCCTTAAATAGCTGTTCAAGATCATACTGGATGTAAGACCTCTGTCATTTCGGAAATTCTAAAAGAAAAGAAAGCCTTTGAAATTTTTCAGTCAGGTCCTTGCTAAAATATGGATCAGTACCTATACTGTGAGAAGAGAAAAACTATGGATATTTTAAAAAAATTTATTAAAAACAAGTTACATATTTAGAAATTCAGGACTTAGATGGACAGACAGATCTCACATTCCTATGGATTGGAGACTTGCAAATAAGGAAGGGGTAATGACATGCCGCTGCCATCACTGTTATGCTCCTGATGACTGATAATGTCCGAGGATCAACTAACCAGAAGTCAGTCCTGCAGTCAGTGCTGCTGCAGGTGCAGTGCCTCAGCACTAACTGCTGAGGGGGCTGTGAATCAGGGCCAGAGAGAGGCCTGAAGAGAGAAGCAGAGACTGATCTATTGCCTCTGTGGCAGCTTTTGATCAGCACTTGCCTCTCTCTTTCTCTCCCAGTCTGGCCAAAAGCTGAGCCTCTATTTCTCTCCAGGCCTCAACCAAGGCTATTGATCAGCCTCGCCTTTCTGACAAGGCCCCATTGATAGGCCCAGAGAAGCTGACTGGCATAGAAACTGACCAATTCGAACCAAATCTGAATCAACTGTGAGGAGCCAATGGCTGCCTAGGAGGTGGAGCTTTTGACGCTGACTGGCATAGAAACCAACCAATTAGAACCAAATTGGCTGGCAGAGGAGGGCAGTTTGGGGGTGAGAACAGGCCGGCAGGGGAAAGAAGTTGGGGTCAAGATCAGGCTGGCAAAGGAGGACCATTGGGGGCAACCAGGCCTGCAGGGTAGGGCAGTTGGGGACAAGATCAGGCCAGCAGGGGAGGGCGTTTGGGGGTGAGATCAGGTCAGCAGGGGAGGGCAGTTTGGGGCAATCAGGCAGGCAGGCAGGTGAATTAGGAGCCAGCATTCCCAGATTGTGAGAGGGATGTCCAGTTGCTGGACATCCTACAAGGGGTACCTAATTGGAGAAAGTGCAGGCTGAGCTGAGGGAATCACCCCTCTGTGCACAAATTTCGTGCACTGGGCCACTAGTATCTCAATTATGCTGTTAAATAAAGCCGTCGGAGATTTAGATGTTCAAAAAGTATTTTCTCTTTTTCCCGCAAAAAGTCTAGGCTGCCATCTACTTTAGGCTCAGCATATAAGTTCAAATTGTGAATCATTCTTATGAGAGAAGTTCTATGGGATTGTAACATGGATGCTTGGTGTCAGTTTAGTCAAATATGTGAATAAATAGTTGTATTTCTGGAATCCTATTTGTAATCCTATTTTTTATATTTGTAGTTCATCCTCTTTTAATCAAGTATATTCTATGCATATATTCTCCCAAATCATAAAAATACATTTATGGATAAGAAACCCAAAGTGATTTTTCTGCAGGTACTAGTACTTAATTAAAAACCCCAAATAGAATCCCTATGCCATGTTCCCTCTCTGAACAGATATAGGGGCAGAAACTATTTTTGTGGACACATTCCTTTCTCTTACATATTAATTAGCAAAGCCATTAGGTTTCCCTTTCTGTTTTATATGTAGGAGAAAAATTACCATTTTAAACATTATTTTAAGACCATTGTTCACTATATTCAGAACCATGAATTTAGTGAATCATAGCAAAGGAGGAAACTAATAAAAAAAAATGAATTGATTTATTGTGTAAATTGTGCAAGGCTTTTAATTGTGATTATAGGAAACATTCAGACTGGGGAAAGGGCTAGGCCAATTTATCATCCTTGTTTTAAGGTTAAGAAGCAGTATTTGTCAGACGATAGATAGCTCAGAGTCCAGCACAGCTCATTTCTTTTTAAAAGCTTTATCAAGGTGCAATTCACATATCATGCAATTCACCCAATTAAGGTGTATAACTCAATGATTTTTTTTTAATACCTTCACAGTGTTGTCCTCACAATTCAATTGTAGAACATTTCCATCACACCCCCAAAGAAATCCCATGCCCATTAGCAATCACTCCCTATTTTCCCCCATCCCTGCCAGTCCTAGGTGACCTCACTAACTTAGGCTTTTGTCTCTAGTAGATTTGCCTATTCTGGACATTTTGTATGAGTGTCATCATACAATATGTAGCACAGCATATCTCTGTTTATAAAAGGCAAATATGCTAAGTGTCCAACTGATTGGTAGATCAGTCACTATGATGCACACTGACCACCAGGGGGCAAACACTCCAACTGGTAGGTTAGCTTGCTGCTGGGCAAGACGGGCTGGACATGCCCTGGAACCCTCCCGGGATCCCTCCCTGGCTGGCCGGCCCTGATGGGCTCCCATCAGGACTGAGTGAGATGGGCCCCAATCTGCCCCAATCACCAGCCAGGCTGAGAGACCCCACCTGTGCACGAATTCGTGCACTGGGCCTCCAGTTTTAATATACTAGGGAAATGTGGAACATTTGCAGAAGCAACTGTTTGTTGAGAAAACTCTTTTCCTTCCATGGTTAAGTCTGAATTATGAGATAGGCAGTTAATGCCATTTAAATTTGGGGTGAAACTGAGATCACAATAGGTAGAAAAATCTAATTTTAGTGCTGCACTTTAGTTTGATCGTTTGGTCCTGTTATGTCTAGAAATCCTCCGTTTGGAAAGGTTTGTGTCTTTGACCAGCGGGTGTCACTGTCTGACTAAAGATGATTCCTCCTCAAGCCACTTCTATAAATAACCTTGAAGCCAGTCTTCAAAGGTCAATATCAATATTATTCGGTTCTTGCATTCATTTATGTGATCACCTCAGAATAAATACTTGTAACAGTTAACATTAACTATTTTAGCTATTAAATAGCTTTAAGAGATTAAGATGTTATCACCTTTACTGAATTTGAGCCCTAACTTTTTAAAAATGCATTTACTTAGAATCACCCATGTTGAGAGTTACATGATAGAGCTTGTGTGCTAAATAAAGACTTGAGTGAGGAGTGGATTTGAATTTTTTTTTTTTTACAATTACACTTTAATGCCATCTGCTAGAAAATATAGAGATGTTAAGAAATAGTGCTCTGATTAACCTTTTCGTTGGATTAGCTTTGTCATGGATAATCAATTGCATTAGGCAATTAAACACTGGAACATTAGTTTAACAAGTTTTATGCCATGCTGACTACTTTCATCTCCCATTCTTGCTGTAGGATATCTCCTAGGTAGCGAAGATTACTACTCTCATGAACGCTGTGTATTTATCAACGCTCTCAATGTCACACGATGTGCTCTTGATTTTCGAGATGGTGAGGAAGTTGCAACAGGATATGAAAATATGTATTCAACAAACTTATTTACTGAAAGGGCTACAGCCCTCATAAAAAACCATCCACCAAAGAAGGTAAGTCTTGCCTCTTTGTTGATATCAAGATTGTGTTCAGAGAGGGTCTCCACAGATGAGTGTAGGAAGAGGCAACTTTCATTGAAAGACACAGCTAATACATTCTAGGGGGATTGTTTTCAAGTTTTAGAGTCCACCAGTATAAGCCCGGGAAGCTTCTTAAAAGTGAAATTCCTGGAGCCCATAAGAGTCTGATCTCGCATGTCTGCGGAAATCTGTACCCCAGCATTTTAAAGGAACTCCTCAAGGATGATTCTGGTTAAAATGGTTCCCAGATTACACTCAGAGAAATACTGTATTATAGTGTTTTAGTAGAAATATAGGTTTATTATTTGGTGCATTATGTGCATGTGCTATAAGTAATTAGCAAACTGACATTAAAAAATGATAGGCTTTTATACAGGATGAAGTTTTATTATGGCAAACTTTCTATTAAGAGATCACTAAACTTTAGGTTCAGGCCAAATCCTCTAACTTTGTATTCCTCCCCAACACTCAACATCATTTTAGCTATTCTAGATATTTTGCAAACCCTAGATATTTTGCATTATCTAATTTTAAAATCAGCCAGTCAATTTCTTTAAAAAAAAAAAATGCCTGCTTGGATTTACATTTCATTAAATCTATAGACGTTGGGAAGAATGGATGTCTTAAGAATATTGAGTCTTCTAACCCATAAACATGGCATACAGATGAGCTTGTTTTTTACATTTACTATCCTGAAACCATTGTATACTTCATATGATAAAATCTTTTGACTTATCTCTAGGTAAAACTAGAAGAGTTTGAATAGCCTTAAACATTTTTTTGCTAGCCTAGAGTTAACCACATGAGCTAAAATTCAAGCTGAATTCTCTGGGCCAAATATTTGTGTTGTCAGACATTGGGCTCAAAATATACCTTTATTAAGAACTGCATTAGCATACCCACGGAGTTAGACCTTCAGTGGGGCCCTGGCAGAGCAGATCACAGAATGTGCGGTGTTGTCTGGCTCTTCCCATTTCCTGCACTTTGCCTCCTCGACAATTACTGAAGGTGCTCAGCGCAGATCACAGTTTGGATTCCAGTTTATGTTCCTGTGAGGCATGATACCTGGCTGCTGACTCCCTTTTTGATGTGGTTTCTTTGTGGCTCACTCTTTGCTGTCTTTTACTCAGTATGAGGAGTCTTCCCTGGTATCTGTCCTTAGCTTTGCCACATTTTTGGCTTTTTATCCCTGTTTCATACTTACAACTTGCTTGTCCATGTTTGCTGTGGAACATTCTCTCAAATATGGAGACATGAAGAATTTAATTTCATGGTTATTCTATGTGTTTTATTTTAAACTAGAGGCCCAGTGCACGGATTCATGCACCATGGGGTTCCTCGGCCTGGCCTGCAGGGACCAGGCTGAAATCGATCTCTGGGTCCGGGATGCAGGTGAAGCAAATTAGGGCCCCAGCAGCTACCTAACTCAAGGCCAATTCTGTGAGGAATCAGGCTTCTTCCTCTATTGGTTGGAGCGTCTGCCCCTACTGATCATTGTGCGCCATAGCTACTGGGTGAATGATAGAATGGTTGGATGGTTGCTTAGGCTTTTATATATAGAGATTTTAATTGATTTTTTACTGAGAGAGAGAAAAGCATTGATTTGTTGTTGTTTCACTTATTTATGCATCCCTTGGTTGCTTCTTATATGTGCCCTTACCAGGGGTCAAACCCACAACCTTGGTATATTGGGATGACACTCTAACCAAGGGAGATACCTGACCAGGCTTAGACATACGCAGATTTTAAATCGAGAGCTACACCAATATTCAGACAGTTGAAAAGATAACTGCTAGGTAGTTGGTTTACATTCTCAGTTTTCTTCTGTATGCTTGACATTTTGATACAGCTAAAAGCCCAAAGAACAAGGTAAGGTCTTAATGGAATTGTAGTCCTTGTCCTGTCCTTCGAGGCAGGCACTGTGTTCAAAGAAGCACACTGGCTTAGTGAAGTTAACTAACGTGTTCAAGGTCACAGAGCTATTGAGAGTCAGAAGCAGATTCTAAACCCACACTGTTTTTCTCTATAGCTCAATGCACCCCCTATCCACAGTAAATATCCATGACCAGAGATTGTGAGCCCCAGTGTATGACTCATCCTGACCGTATATTGGGATCATCTGGAACACTTGTAAGAAATACCAATTCCGAATATTGTGGTTTATCAGTCCAGGGTGAGACCCTGTGGTTGGTATTTAATTACCTCTCCGCCCCCACCTCCCACCGGCGATTCTGATGTGCTGCCACTTTTGACTCCCCTCAAACACAGATTGGAAGCAGAAGCCAACTGCCTTTTACAGGTTCGCAGTATAACTGTGGAACTATATATAGTATGCCTACAATAAACATTAGTTCCCATTCAGGAACAATGGAGAATTCTCTCACAGTGCCCGAAATATTAGGCGGATAAGAGGAAGCAGCTGGGGTGTACTAATTCTTGGTGTGTGGGCTGCTTTAAATGGTGTAGTGTGGACAGCACAGGGACTGAGGACAACTGTGGGCCACAGAGCTCACGGCCACCCAAGCCTGTGTTGTTAGTGTGGTGCTGCTGAGAGATAACATCAGGAAATTGCCAGGTGAGAGGGTGGTCATTTTCCTCTGGTGTCTGAAATATCCTGAAGCCACATCCAGCATTCCTAACATCCTCAAAGTAAAGTTTCAAGCATAGACATAAATGAATGAAATAGTTAATAGGTAAGTGATTGCTCAGAAAGTTCCTTTAAAATAGCAAATGCAGATGTTTTCATTTTCAGTTCTCAGTATTATAAAATGATGTCACCCCAGTTCCAGGAGCTGCACTTTATCCCAATGTTGAATCTTCTTTTTTTTCTTTCTTTCTTTTTTTTTTCTTTTTTATTGAATTTATTGGAGTGACATTGTTAATAAAATCACATAGGTTTCAGGTATACAGTTTGATAATACATCATCCGTATATTATGTTGTGTTCACCTCCCCAAGTCATCTCTTTCCATCACCATTTACCCCCTCTCTACCCTCTTCTTCCTTCCCCTACCCTGAATCTGTGCTAATCCCCAAGTGCTATATATAGACTGTAACATAAGCGACTTGTTCTAGGATGGAGATCACTAATGAAATTCACACAAATCCTCATGTTAAAAGTGTCTCCATTTTAAAGAGCACTTGCGAGGAAGAAGCGTATGGAGCTGTTCTGTGACAGAAGGACATGGTGCTGGACTCCGAGGCACCCTGTGGATAGCCACTGCAATGTGCTGGGAAGCAGAGTCCCTTCTCCTTTTTGGCAAGATAATTCTGTCAGTGCTAATACCACAGTGTGAAAGCAGCGTATTCATAAAATATCTTTTGGTTAAAAATAGCCCCCTCAACACTTTGCAGAATAAAAATAAATGTTTTCTCACCCATCTGGTCTACTGAAAGCATCTTAAAGCAGATGCAAATTCCTGGTGGTAGACCCTTACTTTCCCTGGCACAGTTTGAGGAAGGAATGTCTTAATTTGGAAGTCAAAGATAGAATAACAATTTAAAAGCATATCATATGCTTTTTAAATTTATCCTTTAAATAAAGAAACGAAAATAAGACTTTCTCGCTGAAATGAGTGTCTTAGCATGGTGAGGATATTTCAAGTAGAAGAATAGACATAATAAGAAAAGGAAATGAACCCCTAGCATCTTATGAGTATGCTAATAATTTTAAGTTGAAGTGTGATATATTATGTAATACTTAAACCTTTGGTCATGACTCACATCTAGGATTCCATTATCTAAGTCCTAAGAAGCCTGAAAGGGGGCAGTCGGGGTTCACAAAGATGGCATCTGTCGCTGCATTGCTTAGCATAAGGATCTGGACCCAAGAAAGAGCGAGGGAGAAATCTGGGTTCAGCATAAACCGGGAGGTCAGTGAAGGTCAGATTGGGTACAGGACTCCAGTGTTTTGAATGAGAATGTCAGGTCAGCATGTGCCCTCAGGTCTCCAGAGGCCAGGTCTTGATTGGGTTAGAACTCAGGTCAGTGGATAGGGTGGTACTCAGGAGCTCCTCCCCAGGATGGTGGCTGCTGATGTAGGCCAGCAGAGGCCCTGGCTGGCAGGTGAGGAGGAATTGGCTGCTGTTAACAAGAAGAGCCTTGGGCCGGCACCGGTTTGGCTCAGTGGATAGAGCATCGGCCTGCGAACTGAAAGGTCCCAGGTTCGATTCCGGTGAAGGGCATGTACCTTGGTTGCGAGCACATCCCCAGTAGGGGGTGTGCAAGAGGCAGCTGGTCGATGATTCTCTCTCATCAACGTTTCTAACTCTCTATCCCTCTCTCTTCCTCTCTGTGAAAAATCAATAAAACACACACACACACACACACACACACACACACACACACACACACACACATATATATATATATATATATATATATATATATATATAAAATAAAAAAAAGAGCCTTGGGACTAGTGGCTGTAGGTGCATCCCGATATGGCCGATATGGTTGGACAGCTTTAGAGCCCTGGGTAATTGTTCTTCCACTGGGCCGCCACGGTGTACTGAGAACAGTACTCTATAAAATGCTCTTAACTTCAAAAACAGTGTAGAAACACCTCACGTCTGGCACTGTCGGGAAATAAGATGCCTCACAAATAAAGTTCACCTTGTGAGTGCTGAAACCTTATTCTTATAACATTGAATGGAAATACTCTAAAATGTGTTCCCTGGTCCTCACCTCATTAAATGCGCTGCACTGTATATCATTCTGCCTCCGCCTGGTGACCCGAAGCCCTGCTGATGTGTATGAGACTGTTTGTCCACATACTAAGCGACCCTAGGTTACTGCTGATGAAACGGGAGAAAGAGGACTTGCTTTGGTCAAGGAATACCTTCAGCTGTACTTGTAAGTTATTAGGACCTGGTTGGCAAGTAGTGCGAGGCCTTTGCATGGCCTGTGACAGTCACAGGCCCGGCTGGGCCTCATCCTCAGAGGTTGTTTTCACTCCCCCTTCTCAGTTATGCCCCTTCTCAGAAGCCTGATGCTGGAAAAAGGGGATTGCTGCAGTTTTCTAATCGTAGGCCCTCGAGAGTGATAGTCCTGCCCTTAGCCATTAAGGGATAATTATTAGAAAGATTTTCAGATATTTTTTTGCTATTTTTAACGAAGTGAGTAGAAGAATTTCTATACTGGATATGTATAAGGTCCCCTAATGATGGTCCCAGAATATGTTCCTGGCATGGTTATAAGAACTCTCCCCCACGACCCTCACCTCACTTGCTGGCGGGGACCAACCTCCCTTTTGCCCTTTCTCTCCATCACCAGCCATGTGGGTTGCCATGTTGCACATCTTTTTAAACAGGGAGGCTCCTTTCAGATTTCCTCCACCCTGCCCACGGGAGAAAATCCAGACCAGAGTCAGGCTGCTTGCCTAAATAAGTGGAGCTGCTCCTGTAGCACAGTGGGGACTAGAGAAATGGTGAGCTTCTGAGACTGGGGTCTCTGCTTCTCACACTCAGCTGCTTGTTCCTGGATGGAGTGTGGGTGTGGAGTTGTTTTGTTTTGTTTTGTTTTTCAGGAAAATTAAACAAGACAAAACAAAACAGGTTTTTATATGATCATTCCTGATTTTTAAAACTGCTTGCAATTTGGGCTGCAATTGGTTGTAGCCTGACAATTTTTAACCCTATCTAGACCTTGGCTGGTAGCCGGGGTTGGCTTAGTCTAGGGCTAAAAACCAGATGGCTCCTCCGACCGCAGCCCCTCACTGCCTGTCAGGCCATGGATGCCACTTCACGTCCTTCCCTCCAAACATCTCAGCCCAGGGTCCTTCCTCAGCACTTACCTGGACACAGCATCCCCTGGGCTCTCTCACCCAGATGGGGAGGAGCGCAGGAGTGTCCGTGTGACGTGTGTGGCTGGAGTAGGAAGTGTGTGTGTGGAGGAAGAGTGGAGCTGAGTGCCAGAGCTTTAAAGTTGACTTTTGGAGCTGGAATTTGGAATGCTTTCCCATGGAAGCAATGTACAAATAAATGAAGCACAGGTTCCATCGTATTATGGTTTTCATTCCATCGCTTACTTCTTTAGTTAAATAGGTTTTGAAGTGATTACTTTGATATTTAACAGCTATTTTGAACACTTTGATTTTGGGGAAAAGATGTTTCTAACTGCCAAAGGACTGAACTACAAATAACGTGTTTGAATGCTGTACATGTATATTCCTTACTTTACTGCAGGGGTATAGAATAGATAATTTAAAACAATTTATCAACAGTGAAGAATGAAATATGAGACACCCATTTCCAGTCTGCTTTCTGACTTTTTCCTATTCATTTATGAGATTTAAATGCCTCAAATACTTGAACAGAATTACATATTTATTCTTGGGTTGGACTAGTTGTCTTTTTGAGGGTTTCAACTCATTACTGAATTATTCTGTAGAAGCACAAAGAGGAGAGAGCTTCAGAAAGGCTCATTAAAAAGGAGAGGCTGACCTGGTCTACCACTAATGTAAAAGCTGTAAATTGGTCTGAGAGGTAAAATAGAATCAATGCTTCACACTCCTTTGTTAGTTTCCAGAAATTAAATTGGCCTTATGTTTGGTCCTCGATCAAAGACTAACAAGGCATGGTATACACTTGTTTTTTTCATAAAAGCATCAAAAATCCCTACCCTCTACTAAAAGGTGTGAAATTATTTTTCAGCTAGAGCAAAACGTTAAAGCATCTATTGGTACATATCTACACTATAATAATGGGGTTTTCAATAGAAAATTTCTCTGCAATTAATATGAACTTGGGAAAGTCTGAGCCTCAGTTAACTTGCCTGTAAAATGAATGTAACACAGGGTGTTTTGGAGAATTAAATAAGATGGAATATATACATCTTTATAATATCTTGCACTTAGACATTTCACATATAGTTATGATTGATATTATTATTTGGATCAGAGCCTTCTAGACAATTTTAGAACTCAGGCTTTTAGTTTTAGTCTTTTATCATGTGTCTTTTGTTGCATTTTTAATATCTTTATTGAGACATAATTCACATACCATAAAATTCAGCCATTTGAAATACAAAATTCTATAGTAAACTCAGAGTTATGCAACCATCACTAAGTTTAAAACATTATCATCACCACAAAAAGAAGCTTGGTGCCTGTTAGCACAGAATTTATGGCTGATCATATTCCTTCTATTGCTGAGTATTGCTGGAAATGCATCACGCTTTGTTTACCTGTTCATTAAAGGGCGGACTATAGCGAGTAATGCCGCTGTGAACATTCGTGTACAAGTTTTTGTATGGATGTAGTTTTCATTTTCTAGGAATGGGAATGCTGGGTCATATGGTAGTTTCATGGTGAACACTTTCAGGAACTGCCAAATGGTTTCTCATACTGGCATTCCCACCATCAATGAATTATTGTTTTGATGTCTCTACCCACACTTACTATTTTCTGTTTTTTGTGTTGTAGCCTCCTAGTGGATGGGAAGTGGTATCTCAGAGTGGTTTTGGTTTGCATGTTAATGACTAATGATGTTGAACATCTTTTCATTTGCTTATTGGCCATTTGTTATCTTCTTTGGAGAAATGTCTGTTCAAATTCTTTGCCCATTTTGTAATTGGGTTAATTATCTTTTATTTTTGAGTTGCAAGAGCTCTTTTATATATTCTCCCTAATAGTCCCTTATCAGGTACATGTATGATTTACAGATATTTTCAACCCATTCTGTGGGTTGCCTTGAATATTAGTGTTTTTTTAAGTGATAAGTCTGAACCTCTGTATATTCACTGCTTCCATGCCCTTCTGACTGACTTGCACAAACTCTCTTCCCAGCCGTTGTTTCTCTACCTTGCTCTCCAGTCCGTCCACGAGCCCCTTCAGGTCCCCGAGGAGTACATGAAGCCGTACGACTTTATCCAAGATAAGAACAGGCGTCACTATGCAGGAATGGTGTCCCTTATGGATGAAGCAGTGGGAAATGTCACCGACGCCTTAAAGAGCCGGGGGCTCTGGAACAACACGGTGTTCATCTTCTCCACAGGTAAGCCTGCCAACGGGAAAATCATCTCCTGGCAAAGCTTAGGACATGATATTCGATGAATGGAATGAAGACAAATTGGAGCATTTAACGGTTCCTTATTAAAATGAATGCTCACTGCAAGAGTGAAGACATGCTCATAATGGGTAGAAAGATGTGTCAGGAAAAAGGATTACGGGCTTCCCCAACTTTCTTCAAATATCAAAATATTCTGGGGGTATGCTTGACAACAAGTGCTTTCTAAGTAAGTATGAGAGGGCATCACTCATACACAGGCAGCTGGGCACTGACTGTTTGGACTGGCCTGTTCTCAGCAATCTCTGCAGCCCAGGCTCTGTTGGGAGGACTTCTGCTGATTGCAGGGGGCTCTGTGTCAGAGACGGATTGTGACATTATGAAGACAGATAAGAAATGGAGCCATTTAAATCTGGGCTAGAGCCTCCAAGAATAGATTTTTTTATATTAAAATTTTCTGACAATGAAAGTTATGCATTTGATTATAGGATAAACAGAAAAGTAGAAGGAAGAAGTTTCTTGAAAATAATTTTTATTATGGCAATGTCATTTCAACTTCTAATCTGTTATATTGAGACATAGTTTCTATTCCGTAGGGATGTACTTTGGGTATAGGTCTTGGTTTATTCATTATGTTGAGTACTCCAAGAGTACTTCCTATTGGAAAATGCTGATCCTTTTTTTATAGGAAATTTCTTGTATTATTTAATGTCAGAATTGTTTGACACTCCATTCTACCTTCCTTTCTCCTAGTCTGCCTTCACCAAACTCCTGTTTTTTGGATATTGCATTAATCCTCTAATATCTCTCTCTTCTTCCCTTTCCTTTCCTCCCTTCCCCTCTTCTTCTCTCTTTTCCCCTTCCCTCCACCATTCTATTGAATGCATTGTAACGACTATAGATTTTAATTATCAAGGACTCTTTCTTGTTTTCAGGTAATTCTTTTTTTGTGAAGTTTCCCCCCCCCCCCCCCACTTTATGGATGCAATTAATAATTTATTTCTCCAAACCCTGTGCTCTTTACCATTAATTATCTGTGTGTGTGTGTGTGTAGATGTGTGTACCTACGTGTCTCTCTGTGTGTGTGTACACATACATATATTTTTAAGTTTGCTTATACTCCCATCATTGTCTCTCTTCCTTCTAAGGTTGTTTGTATCTTTGTTTTGGTTTGCATTTCACGAAGGAGCTTTCTCAAATCTCTAGTGTTCCTTGGCTACAACCTGAAAATTTAACTAGAAACTCCTAGGGTGATGTTGCGGTTTGTAACCTGGTGAGATTTACTGTAAAGTGGCTATGTAAGGGGTGTGAAGTGGCATGTTGAGAATGAATCTGGTTATTGTACTCACAGGTTTTTTTTTTATGTGTTTCTTTAAAGAGTTAGTTTGGTTTGCTTTTAATCGGGCATGGTTTTTGAACCTAGCAATTATTGTGTGCTTACTATGTCCAGGACATAGCTCTGAATGCTTTACGTGAGTTAGTTAAATTAATCCTCACAATAGTTCTCTTGCAGGTGTGAGAACTGAAGCACAAAGAGACTGAGTAACTTGCCCACGGTCACACAGCCAGGCAGAGCCAGGCATCAGTCTTTCTGGCTCCACTGCATCTCCTGCCTCTAAGGTGTTGCAGAAGATGGTCCGGATGTTCTTATTGGTCCCCATGGCATAGCAGAGCTTCCTGCATGGTATGCTGCAATACCAATCTCTCCAGGAGCCTGGGCAGGGCCAGGGGCCATCCTGGGCAACCTTGTTCAGCTGCTTTAATGCTAAACATACACTATAATTTTCTAAGTATTCCCTTTTGTGGGAAGGGTTACTATTACAGTTGTTTTTCCTCCAAAACTTACTCTTCAGAAAAGAGGGAAACATCTTATAGACTAGTACAAGTCCGTACAAGATCTCTCTCTTACTGAGTTTTTGTCAACTGGCTTTATGGCGAACAGCCTGGAAAGCACCTTGATCAGTGTTGGTACTGAATACTTATCGAGGTCACTCACTGAAAGAAGGAATCACAAAAGAAGTCAAGAGATTTATACTCATTTAGCAATTATTCCTGGGAAATGATCTCACGATTGTAAGAATTAGCAGTGGTATGTTTATAAAACAATCTTTGTCATAGAGATCAGAGTGATACAGTTTAAAGATAAATTATTTCCTAAAACAAAAGTCTGTATGTATTAATGTATCATACACAGACTGAAAGTGCTCAGACAGAGAAGATGGTAGCTCTGGGAAGCTGCCAGATATCTCAGAGTGGCTCTTGTGACAATGGATATTGATGTCAAGTAGGCATGGAAATGGGAGCTGAATAAAATTTTTTCATGATGTGTGAAAGTGTGGAAAAAAGCAATATTTTAAGTTATATTTTCTTATATGATTTCAAGTGTGTATATGTAACTTTTAAATAGATAGCTGGTTATTTTATAAACATCCATATTATATTTATTCAAGTCAGCAAAAATAACTTTTGGAGCTTTTCACTAAGAAAATGGGGATTACTTTATAATAAGGTTGTCTCACTATGATATATATATATATATTTTTTAATTACATATTTATTGTTGAAAGTATTTCATATGTCCCCTGTTTCCCCCCCATTAACCCCATCTGGCTGGCCCCCATCCCCCTCCCCAGGCCTTCACCACCCTATTGTTTGTGTCCGTGGTGACACTATGATATATTAGTAGACATATTCGTCTTGGACCATGTTTGCTTTGTTGGGCTGGGCTAAATCCAACTTGATCATGTATATGCATTTTTATTATTCTGTTGAATTCAATTTTTGAGAGGTTTATTTAGGATTTTTGTACCGAGTCAGGAGTGAAAAATGGATTGCGGGGGGGGGTTGCTTTTTCTCTCTGTGTCAGGTTTTGTTGTCTTGGTTATGCTCACTTAATAAAGCAGTTTGGGTGGTTTTTCCATTTTTTTCCTCTGCTCTAGAGCAGTTCACAGGCTGTTTGAAAGATCTGTCTGGGTAAGCTGGTCCCTGAAACTGCTTTTGGAGGCTTTTTTTGTTTGTTTTAATTACCTTCATAGTTTAGATTTTTGCTGAATTATATCTAGGCATGGGTCTTTAAGATACTTTAAAATTAATTTTGCCTGAAATACAGTGAACCCTTTGATCTTGATGCTGAGATTATTTTTCACTCCAGGAAGTTTTCCCTGTTCATATCTTAGCTTATTGCTTTTGTTCTGCTTGATTTGTTTCTCAAAAATACCTTTCATTAGTAGGTTGAAACACTGACTCAATGTCTCTCTCATCATTTTCCGTGTTTTGTCCTTTTTCTCAGTCTTCTGGATCCAGCTCCTCTGCATTACATTTTTGCAATTTTAATCTGCTCTTTAATGTCGCCAGTGTAGATTGCTATTGATTTTGTTTTTAGTTGCTTTGCAATCCTTTGTTTGCCTTAGTCAGTTCACTGGTCATGTCATTAAGCATTAAAGCTCAATGTAACCTTGTGAAATAAGTTTCTTCGTCTCCAGTCTATAAATTTACTAGAGGCCCCAGGTGTCCAGCTGGCCTGCCCCAATAGGGACCCATCAGGCCAGGCTGGCAGGAGGTGGGGAAGAGGCCGCAGGTGGTTGGCTGGCCGCCCCACTCCTGATTAGGGTATTGGGGGCTGGTTGGGGTGGGGCTGGCTGGGGGAGAGAGGCTGTGTGTGGTTGGCTGGCTGGCTGGCCCGCCTCCAATTGGGGTGTTGGGGGCTGATCGGGGGCCAGCCTGGTCAGGCATGTGGCAGAGCAATCAGGGCTTGGATCAAGCTGGTAGGCTGCTGCAGCAGCGTGTGTCACAGCCTCCAGTTGTTCCAGTCGTTCTGGTTGTTCTGCCGTTTCAGTCGCTGGGCTTTTATATATATAGACAAATGAAGAAATCAAAATGAAAGAGGTTAAGTGCTTTTCCCACGGCCGCTACTACTCTGAATGTTTTTCACCCCAAATTCACATGTTGGAATATTAACACCCAATGTGATGGTGTCAGAAGGTGGGGCCTTCGGGAGGTGCTAGGTCATGAGATTAGTGCTTTTATAAGAGACCCCGGAGAGGTCTCTAGTCCCTCTCTTACATGTGAGGACACAGCAAGATGGCACTGGCTGTGAACCAGGAAGAGGGTCCTCACCATAGGGCAGCCATGCTGGTCTTGCTCTTGGACTTCCCAGCTTCCAGAAATGTGAGGACTAAATTTATGTTGTCTGTGAGCTAACTAGTCTGGTATTTTGTTAGAGCAGCCTGGATGGACTAAGAGAACCACTCATCTAACAAATAGAAGAGTCAGGATTCAAACCTAGAGCTCGAGGTCCATCAATACCTATTAACCCTAGTCAGTTGTGCTTTGCTTCTCATCTTTCCCTTTTACCCTGTCCCATTGTCCTTTACCTCTACTTCTGTTCATAGAACCCAAGCTTTTCCCAAATAGAACTTCTCTAAAATCTTTAAATCATCAGCAGCTACATACTCTTACTCTGAGTATAGCTGTGAAGGGTCTACCCACACAGTGTGCATGGTCCTCTCTTGGGCTATAGTCACTGTTTCCTGATTAATCACTTCCCAACTACTGACTGCATGTAAATTACAACCTTGATAGAATAATGTCTCCCTGCCTCTTTTCAGGTAGGGAAATGTGTGACTATTACTGCTGTTGACAAATACTGCTCATCTCATCGCCAACATAATATTCTCTTCTAATACAAAGGTTGCCCTTTGATTTCCTCTGTGATAGGATACAATCAAAGTTCAAATCCCAGCTTTCCTGTCTATTAGTTACTGAGACTCTAGCCTCAGTTTCATTATTGAATGCAGGTTGGCCGACCTTTCATTCATTCACACAGTCTCTCATTGCAGAGAGAAAGACAAATAGGATCTAGTTCCAGCCCTTAGGAAACTTGCAGTCTAGTGAGGCAGGCAAGCAAGTGCATTATTATGATGCAACAGAAGTGTATTTGGGTGCAACCCAGGGCACTGTGTGCTCTTGGTAGGAGCACCTATCAGCCT